AAATATAATGAATGACTCCACTTCTTATAACATTGAGACCTTTTATATAAAACCCTGCTAAACATGTGGTTAAGTTGGGGACAATACCAATGTTGCTAGCGATGGGTTAAGGATCTGTCCCTCTGAAATATTAACCACTGTAAATAAGCTTAATTAGTTTTATATGTTTTCTAGGTACCCAATATATTATATATATGCAGAAACTAAAAAGCTAGCCTTCAAATTCCTCCTCCACCGATCATCTTTTCTAACCTAGGTTTCAAACTCTCAGAGCACTTCCCGATTTTATTTCTATTACGCCAATTAACCATCCTATGGCTTCTTTCCCACTTGATGACCAGGTTCTAGTACAAGAGACTATGTTCGTGGAACATTGACCTTGAACAGGCCTCGCCAACTAAACACCCTTTCCCTTGAAATGATCTCTCAGCTGTCAGAACTTTTCCTGGCCTATGAGGTAGATGCCAATGCCAAGTTGATCATTCTCAAGGGTAGAGGAAGAGCATTTTGTGCTGGCGGCAATCTAGCTGCTGTGCATCGTCACTTTCTTGAAGGAAATCTGAAATATGGTGAAAAAGTTAGTCAAAAGATCATGAACTTAACCTATTTGATAGCAACATACAGTAAACCCCAGGCAAGTATGCAACTAATTTCCATAATGAGCTTTGAAATCTGTGTTAAATATTTTTCGGATAATTCCGCAAGTGTTACGTACTATATGTATCATCTCAACTAGTCAATTAGTATACCTGGTGGCGGATCCACCATGGGGTCAATGAGGTCAGACGACCCTCTTCCTCCTCCTCCTCCTCCTCATCAGCCATGCCAACTCTCAGTCATTGCAAGACCAAGAATAAGCTGTTCTGCTAAAACTAAAGTCATACTTGCAATCTCCAACTAAAGTATGACTTTAGTTTTAGCAGAACAGCTTGTTCTTGGTCTTGCAATCAATGGCGGATCCACCATGGGGTCAATGGGGGTCAGACGACCCCATGGCAGCCCTGGAAATGGCTTGGAGGTTCTTGGTTTCTCTTGGCAACCATGGGAGACGACCCCATGGAGAAGAAGATGCAAGCTGCTAGGGAGAAGAAATAGGGAGGAAGAAGAAAGAGAGAGAGAGGGGGAGGAAGAAGAAGACAGTGGTTGAGAGGGAGAAAAAGAAGAGAGAGAAGGGGAGGAAGAAGAAGAAGACTGAGGGAGAAGAAAAGAGAGGAGGGGGAGGAAAAAGATGAAGACTGAGAGGGAGAAGAAGATGCGCCGACATAATTTTTTTTTAAAAGGAAGATATTTGTTAGGGTTTTTTTTAATATTATTTTAATTTTATTGAGTAGACATATAAATACTAAAAGTATAGATGAATAACATAAAGACATCACTTACCATAGTGGTCTTTGAATAGAAATAGACCTTAAGGTTAATGGTTCAACACTCATTATGCTTTTTGTTTTTTTTAATATTCAAGAAATTTTATTATGTGGGTTGTTTTTGGGTGAGTTTATTTATTATTTAGGTTGGTGTTATTATTTTCATGAAATTCATGGCTTACATAATACATATATGAGCTTGATTCATTGAATGATGTTTTTGTTAGTTGAAATAAGTTTGGTGTATTTTTAAATTATTATTATTTTGCATTATTTCATTTTAAAAAGAAAATTGGAACTTTAACATTATGACCCCATAGGATAACAATCCTGGATCTGCCACTGCATATGACGTGTATCTCTCGCATCTGTTCAGTCAAGATGGTACAAATAGTTTCATTGTACTTTCTTTTGTTAGACTTGAAGTTTTCATATCTTTTGTTATTTATTTATAAAAACAAAACAGGTTTCAATTCTGAATGGGATTGCCATGGGAGCTGGGGTTGGTATTTCAATCCACGGAAAATTCCGTGTAGCAACAGAGAATTCGATCTTTGCAACGCCAGAAAATGGTCTGGGATTTTTTCCTAATGTGGGTGCTTCTTATTTCTTGTCAAGACTTCTTGGATTTTTTGGAGAGTATTTGGGTCTCACAGGTGCCAGGTTGGATGGTGCTGAAATGCTTGCTTGTGGTCTAGCAACTCACTTTGTTCCCTCAGCCAAGTTGCCTATACTGGAAAAGGCTCTGATTTCCAGAGCAGCTTCAGCTACTTCCTCAAGCTTTGATCTTACATTTATTTCAGCAATTATAGACGAACACTCTCTACAGCAACCGGCTCTGAACGAGAAAAGTGCTCTTCACAAAATGGATGTCATTGACAAGTGCTTTTCCAGACCAACAGTTGAAGAAATCTTAAGTGCCCTTGAGAGGGAGGCTGCAGAAGCAAACATGGCACATGATGACCATCGTTATGAATGGTTGGCTTTGACAATTCATTTACTGAAGAAGGCATCGCCGATGAGCTTGAAGATTTGTTTGAGATCCATTAGAGAAGGAAGGATGCAGGCAATTGATGAATGCCTTGTCCGCGAGTACAGAATAACTAGCCATATACTGCGAGGGCAAATAAGCAAGGACTTCAGAGAAGGTTGTAGAGCTATCGTGTGGGACAAGGATAAGAAACCAAAGTGGAAGCCTTATAATTTGGAGCTCATCACTGACCATATGGTTGATCACTACTTCTCTAAGTTGGATGGTGATGAAGAATTAAAGCTCCCTGATCAAAGATCCAACTTGCCTGCATTTGCCAATGCCAAGCTTTGAGCTCAATGTTATTCCAATTTTATTAGCCCACACCCCGACAATTTGTTAGTCTTGTTTTCACGTCTGCTGAAGTTTCCTTTTTGTTGTGGAGAGTTTGTTTGTTTGTTTATTTAGTTTTAATTCAGTAAAGTTGTGTTCTTTAGAAATGGATTGTTGATTACATTGGAAGAAGGGATTGTGTGGTAATTTGTATGTTTTTCTTGAGGTTGAGAATTTACGTGCAAATTTTTTAAGGTTTGATACTAATTTAAAACGACCTCCAAAAATTGGGTAGTTTTGTTTTATGTAGTTAACCTAATATAATATATAGTAGAAAGAGAAAATGACACTCCTCCTTTAAATGCGATTTGGAATATATCCTTCCAATTTCTTCAAGCAATTTGAAATAAGTCATGAGAGGTATTCAATATTTAGGGCCTGAAAATTTGAAGGCCCCGTCTGATAACTATTTCAATTTTAATTTTTAGTTTTCATTTTTTGTGCTAGAGTATAGAGGAAAATGAGAGTGAGAATGGGAGTGAGGAGGGGAGGGGAGGGATGTGTAATAAAAGTAAAAAAAAAAAAGCACTTGAAAGTGAAAATGATTTCAAATAGAATTCAGTTTTTAGTCTTAGTTTTCACTTTTCTTATTCCTCCCTCTCATCTTCCCTCTCAATCTCATCTTCATCCTTATTTTCACTCTCATTCTCTCTCTTTTCCCTCCATAATCTAACACAAAAATTGAAAACTAAAATCTAAAATTAAAATGGTTATCAAACGGAACCTTAAAAGACGTTAATTAGATTTTAAGGCTGAAATTATGAAGTTTGAATGGTAGAAAAATATTGTAGATACACAAGCACAAATTAGTGGGGCCAAGCCCCATAAGAAGAAACTAAATAATAATGACCTATTACCCAATATGTGGATAGGAGCGTCACTAGGAACCAACTTCCCAATCCAAAGTTTGGCTCTTCATTATAGTTTCCATTGGGTCAATCGTGATTCGTAAGATTTTTAGAAAAAAAGCAAACAAACACTACAAAAAATTTGGACAATAGTTCCTTTTCTTTGGTGACTATTGGTTACTAATACTATTAGTCACCTTTATTCGTGACTACAAGCTTTAGGCCTAGTTTGGGATTGCTGTCACTTTTAAAAAAAGTTGCTTCTACTGTGCTTTAAAAATAATTAGCTGTAAAGTAAAGCATCTCCATGTTTGGTAAACACTATTTTTAAAGTGCTGTTAGTACAAAAAACAGTGTTAAAATCGTTTGGTAAATTTTAATATAAAATTGTTGTAACTGTGAATAATGACTAAAATAGACATGATGGTAAAAGTGTTATGCACTAATCATGTGGTGGTAGTGGTAGTGAGTGGTTGCGGAGGATGAGGAAGAGGAGGATGTGGTGGTTGTGGTGGTGGTGGTGGTGGTGGTTGTGGAGGTAGTAAATGTGGTGGTGCAAGTGGTGAAGTTGAATGTAAAAGTGGAGGTGGTGTCATTTGTTTAAAATGAATGATGATATTTTGAGAATTAAAAAAATTCATTAAATGTTCATCTCTGCTTCTTTTGAAAGCAGCTTTGAAAAGCAACCCAGAGTCAGCTTTTAAAAGCTGCTGTCAAAAGACCACTGCTTTTAAAATAATCGGGATATTTTAATTTTACCAAACACCTTAAACTGCTTAACTTAAAAGTTAAGCAGGTTTTTGGCCAAAAAAAGTAATCCCAAACGGGGCCTTAGTCACCCTACAGTCATGATTAACCAGTGTGTTACATATGTGTCCGTAATTATTGATGTTTGTCACCAATATAAACCATTCGTGACATGAGTTTGTCATGCCAAAGTACATGTCCAATCACTTGAAAGTGAGGAGGGGAGGGGATAGATGTGTAATAAAAGTTTTTTTTTTTTTTTTTTAAAAAGCACTTGAAAGTGAAAATGATTTCAAATAGAATTCAGTTTTTAGTCTTAGTTTTCACTTTTCTTATTCTTCCCTCTCAATCCCATCTTCCCTCTCACTCCTATCTTCATCCTTATTTTCACTCCCATCTTCATCCTTATTTTCACTCCCATTCTCCCTCTTTTCCCTCCATACTCTAACACAAAAATTGAAAACTAAAATCTAAAATTAAAATGGTTATCAAACGGAACCTTAAAAGACGTTAATTAGATTTTAAGGCTGAAATTATGAAGTTTGAATGGTAGAAAAATATTTGTAGATACACAAGCACAAATTAGTGGGGGCCAAGCCCCAAAAGAAGAAACTAAATAATAATGACCTATTACCCAATATGTGGAGGAGCATCACTCAAGAACCGACTTCCCAATCCAAAGTTTGGCTCTTCATTATAGTTTTCACCAGTTCAATCGTGATTCGTAAGATTTTTATAAAAAAAGCAAACAAACACTACAAAAAATTTGGACAATAGTCACTTTTTCTTTGGTGACTATTAGTCACATTTATTCGTGACTACAAGCTTCAGTCACCTTACAGTCATGATTAACCAGTGTGTTACATATGTCTACGTAGCTATTGATGTTTGTCACCAATTCGTGACATGAGTTTGTCAGGCTAAAGTACATGTCCAATCACCATTAGTCATGCATATTTTATTATTTTGTCAGGCAATACGTCTTTTATTATTTTGTCATGTCCAATCACCGTTAAACCACCAACATCCCAAACCTATCCAACTCCAAACAGCCTCTCCCACCCCCACCCAACACCGTCAACCAAACCACCACTTCGCAGGCAGCAACACCATCTCCATCTCCCCTATGTCCCAACCACACGATTTGTTTTATTTTCATTTTGATCTCCCTTAAATATCCTAGCCATACCAAAATCTGTAATTTTGGGGTACATAGAAGCATCTCGTAGAACATTGCTTGTCTTTAGATCTCTATGAATGATTCTTAATCTTGAATATTGATGAAGATATAAGATTATTTCGAAGTATCTTATCCAATTCAAAAGCGCTCTATTTTTTTCAAGTATTCATATAATCTTCTGTTCACAGCCTTATCACTGCTATTTCCCTTCCATTGTAAAGCACACCCTGAAATTATAAGGGAGTTTCACTAAAACACCCAAAATGGAGGTTGAAATTATAAAAAAATCCAACACCCAAAACACTTTATAAACACACCCAAAACCCATCATTACACACACTCAAAACCCATTTATAAACACACCCAAAAAGTTGACTTTGGGGTTGATTTTGAGTGTGTTTCTATGTTTAAATAGTGCTTGGGTTTTTTTATAAATACATGTCTAGGATTGGATTTATTTATAAATTTGTAAAATTATAATCCAAACTTAACTCATATTCTTTTGAGGAAACTATTAGAAATCAAATAATGCATGACAACACAAAAAAGTGAAATGATTCTGAGGGCGGCTACCTTATAGACAGAACCAAATCCACTTGTTCTGGAAAGAGAAATTGTTCGTCGCGGCTGTGATGTTTATAAGATCAAAGAAACCATATGACGGTGATGGAATCCATATTGCAGTCCTGAAAACCACTTTAGATCCAGATCTAGAGATTTTGTTCAAGAGAGACAGAGAGAGGGGGGAAGATGAAGAGAGGGAGAGAGAAACCAGAGAGAAAGGGAAGAGGGAGAGAGATAGAGAGAGAGAATCACAGAGACCATACATCTCCTTGGCTTTAGTTGGGTACACCTTGTGTAGGGTACACTATATTATATTACTTTTTAATTTTATATTTATTATATTTAATTTGAATGTCACCAATAATGGTGAGGAGTTCATTGCCAACTTTCCCATGTCAGGTTGACCAAAAAAAAAACCTTTCCATGTCACCAATACGTATTGTTTTTCCTACGTTTTATATTGCAAAATTACTATTTAAGTGTTAGATGACTAGTCACAATTAATAGTGACCACTCATTCAAATGTCACCAAAATCTATTTGTTGCTTTAAAATTGTGACTATTGTCTTCTATTTTTGTAGTGAAATTAGTTATAGTATACGTATAATTTTCATATGTTACCTTCATATACGTGTCAAAATGTGACTCAAGAATGACTCTTTACATATAACGAGCACTCTGTGATGACCAACCCGTATAAATTGTGATCATGTTCTATTTCTTTATTTTCTTCAAATGTGACTCAACAAAGCCCGCTATATGCAAATGTTATGGCCTCTGCAGGGTCTATTCATTAACCTAGAATGAGCAAACAAACGCAAGTCGTACAAGTTTCCATTTTCCACCAGTCACAGACTAGGTTAGGGCCACCTCAATGTCGATCTGTAGTAATAGTTTCAGCAATATCTGTACTGTATTATAAAAAAGACTGCCTTCCAATTCCTCCACCTCTCATCTTCTCAATAAAAGGTTGCACCTAGGTTTCAAACTTTTAGTGCACTTATCGACTTTATTTCTATACAAATTGATCATTTCCATGGCTTCTTTTCAACTTGATGACCAGGATCTGGTACAAGAGAGACTTTGTTCGTGACGACATTGATCCTAAATTGGCCTCAACACTGTCCCAATTGTTTGATCATTTTGGAGAGTTTGTTTGTTTTTTTTTTTTTAAATTTAGTAAAGTTGTGTTCTATAGAAACAGATTGTTGATTACACTGGGAGAAGGGATTGTGTGACTTTTAATTTGTATGTTTTTCCTGAAGTAGAGTTTCTACGTGCAAGATTGTGAAGGTTGAGTATTAATTTGAAACGACCTCTAAAGATGGAGTATTAGAGAGAACTTTATAGAGATGTCCTACACAAGAATGTCCAAAAGAATTCATTAATTCATTAGTTTGTCTTATCTTCTTTTCCTTAAGTGCTATGTACTATATGTATCATCTCAACTGATCAATTACTTTTCCATATGACGTATATCTCTCGCATCTGTTCAATCGAGATGGTAGAAATAGTTTCATTGTACTTTCTTTTGTTAGACTATGGAGTTTTCATATAATTTCTTTCAATACCATCTTTTGTTATTTATTTATAACAACAAAACAGGTTTCAATTCTGAATGGGATTGCCATGGGAGTTAGGGTTGGTATTTTAGTACACGGAAAATTCCGTGTAGCAACAGAGAATTCGATCTTTGCAATGCCAGAAATTGGTCTGGGATTTTTTCCTAATGCGGGTGCTTCCTATTTCTGGTCAAGACTCCCTGGATTTTTTTGGAGAGTATTTGGGTCTCACAGGTGCCAAGTTGGATGGTGCTGAAATACTTGCTTGTGGTTTAGGAACTCACTTTGTTCCCTCAGCCAAATTGCCTCTACTGGAAAAAGTTTTGATTTCCAGAGCAGCTTCAGTCCTCAAGCTGTGATCTTGCTTTTATTTAAGCAATTATAGACGAATACTCCCTACAGCAACTGGCTCTGAACGAGAAAAGTGCTCTTCACAAAATGGACGTCATTGACAAGTGCTTTTCATAAAAAATGGAAAATTAGGAGTATAGGTTGTTCATAAAAAAAAAAAAATTATAAAAAAAAGAAAAAAGAAAAAAAGAAAAAAAGAAGAAGTTGGCAGTAGGCAAAAAGACGGAAATACTTTTCATTTTAGAGAAAGTTTTATAGAGATGTCCTACACAAGAATGTCCTGGAGAATTCGTCAATTCATTAGTTTGTTTTATCTTTTTTTTCCTTAAGTGTATTGTTGGATGAGCTATGACATGATTATCCTTAGTAGGCCTGAGTGGGCTAAATTAAATTTTTGAATAATAAAATAACAACTCACCTAGGCCATAGTCCATATTAGTCCCTTCTTGGGATCATTCCCACTAGCGGAGCTAGTGCATGCCCAGGGTGGGCATTGGCCCCCTTTCAAATATTGTTGTATATACAATTTTATGTTAGTATATTGTACAAAATATTATAAAATTCCTCACAAATTCTTAAATGGCCACTATTTTCTTTGTTTCTCTTTCATTTTCATGTCTAAATTTCTTTTGAATTGCATGTATTTTGTTATTATAAAAGAGTGATAGGTTATTCATACAAAAAGTAAAGGAAAAAAGAGAGAGAAAATTGATAAAATTAGGGATTTCTTAAAAACTAGGTTGATTTGTCATAAAAGAAAGCGTTCGAATTTTTAAAGGTGCTCCCTCTTACTTAAATTCCTGACTCCGCCACTGTCCATTGCCTATATGTGGAGGAGGATTAGTCCAATCCCAAGTTCGGCTCTTCATTAGTGGTCCATTGTAATGGCCAGTTTGACATATTGCTATGCTGTGAAAATAATCGTTGTCAGATTTGTTGTAAGAGAAATCAGCTGTGAGAGAAAGCAGTTTGATGTTTGGTAAACTTTTTGTTAAAAGTGTTGTTGGTACTAATTCTCACATAATTAGAAAATGATTGTCACGTAATCATTAAACCCAACGCCTCTTTGAAACTAATTCCTGTATAATCAGAAAATGAAAGCACATCATTAGTTACTTTCCCTTATAACTTTCTCTCACAGTAATTTTTAACAATAAGTGATTTTCTCATAGTTTACCAAACGGTTTGTGCTTTCTAATTTTTTTTTAAAAATCACTTATTACCCCAAATAAGCAATGTCAAACTGGCACTAAGTCTTTTCCTTTTGTAGAAAAAAACAAACAAATTACAGTTTGATGTGTGTGTAGAACATCTCAATCTTAAGTTCAGCTCTTCATTAGTCTCCCCTGGTCCATTGTAAGCCTTTTCTTTTCGTATGAAAAAAAGCAAACAAATCACAGTTTGATGTGTTTGTAGAACATCTCAATCTTAAGTTCAGCTCTTCATTAGTCTCCCCTGGTCCATTCTAAGCCTTTTCTTTTTGTAAGAAAAAAGAAAACAAATAGTTCTTTCCTCTGATGACCAAACCCCGTTCTGCTAACCACGTTCTGCTATTTCTTTCTTTTCTTCACGTTTTTTCTCTGCCTATGCTGCTTATTTACGGACGGAACACAAAGAAAGGCAAGTGTGTGAACATTTTTTTCTGCCAAGTCAATTCATGCATTGATGCTGGCCCAGCCTAGTGCGAAGTTGTTCCTCCCCCCACCCACACCACATGTGACATGGGCTCATACAAAGCAAAGTTGATTACAACTTGTTGACAACTAGGTTTTTGTTTCCATTTTCAATCATTTAACAATATCTACACTGTCAATTAATTTTGGGCCGAATTCTCAAATTCTATCATAATGTTTGTATCATTTTAATTGTCAATGTTTTAAAAAATTCTGCCAAATATTTTTCTGTTATTTCTATTGTAAGTTGAAATGGTATAAATAGGTTTATTTGTTTTCGAGGAACCCGAAAATATATTGTGTCAATTTTTTTTGGTTCGAAAAAGGAAAAAAAAGAAGAAGATATAGACATGCAATATGCAGAAACCAAAAGGCTGGCCTAACTTGTACTTATAAAAAAGATTGCCTTCCAATTCCTCCACCTCTCATCTTCTCAATAAAAAGTTGCACCTAGGTTTCAAACTTTGAGTGCACTTATCGACTTTATTTCTATACAAATTGAACATTTCCATGGCTTCTTTCCAACTTGATGACCTGGTTCTGGTACAAGAGACTTTGTTTGTGAGGACATTGATCCTGAATAGGCCTCAACACTGTCCCAATTGTTTGATCATTTTGGAGAGTTTGTTTGTTTATTTATTTTTAATTCAGTAAAGTTGTGTTCTATAGAAATAGATTGGAGATTACACTGGAAGAAGGGATTGTGTGGCTTTTAATTTGTATGTTTTTCTTGAAGTTGAGTTTCTACTTGCAAGATTGTTAAGGTTGAGTATTAATTTGAAACGACCCCTAAAGATGGAGTATTAGAGAGAACTTTATAGAGTTGTCCTACACAAGAATGTCCAGAAGAACTCATCAATTCATTAGTTTGTCTTATCTTCTTTTCCTTAAGTGTATTGTTGAATGAGTGATGACATGATTATCATTAGTAGGCCTGAGTGGGCTAATTAAATTTTTGAATAATAAAATAACAATTCACATAGGCTATAGTCCATGTTAGTCCCTTGTTGGGACCATCCCTGCCTATATGTGGAGGAGGATTAGTCCAATCCCAAGTTCGGCTCTTCATTAGTGGTCCATTGCTTTTGTAGGAAAAACAAAAACAAATTATATTGTTTGACGTATGTGTAGAACATCTTAATCTTAAGCTCATATCTTCATTAGTCTCCCGTGGTCCATTGTAAACGGTTTCCTTTCGGATGAAAAAAAAAGCAAACAAATCACAGTTTGATGTGTATGTAGAACATCTCAATCTTAAGTTCAGCTCTTCATTAGTCTCCCCTGGTCTATTCTAAGCCTTTTCTTTTTGTAAGAAAAAAGAAAAGAAAAAGTTCTTTCCTCTGATGACCAAACCCCGTTTAAATTGTGCTTCAAGTTTAAAGCACAATTTAAACACGTTCTGCTATTTCTTTCTTTTGTTCAATTTACGGACAGAACACAAACAAAGGCAAGTGTGTGAACATTTTTTCCTGCCAAATCAATTTATGCATTGATGCTGGCCGGCCCAGCCTAGTAGTTGTTCCTCCCCCAACTCACACCACATGTGACATGGGCTCATACAAAGCAAAGTTGATTACAACTTGTTATATTAACAA